GAATCTGCGAAATGTAAATGTAAAAACGCTTACAGCAGCAGGCTTCCTTTTCTTAATGTAATCTATTGTTCTTTTGATTTCTGGGTGAAGTTTGACACATATTTGACAAATATTGAGAAAAACATCTTTAAAGTTGTCCAAATGAAGTTCTTAGCAATGCATATTACTAATCAAACATTAAGTTTTGATATATTTACGGTAGGAGATTTACAAAATATCTTCATGGAACATGATCTTTACTTAATATCCTAATGATTTTTGGCATAAAAGAGAAATGTATAATTGTGACCCATACAATGTATTGTTGGCTATTGCTACAAATATCCCCCAGCGACTCAACACTGCTTTTGTGCTGCAGGCTCACATATGTCATTGATTATTCCCCGTTTCCTTGGTTTTCTGTATCTCAGAATGAGCTGGATGAGACTCAGATCCAGGCGGCAGCAGACGACGTCGAGCTCCCCACCGAACTGGCCAAGATGATCGCCGAAGACAACCAGGAGGAGGAACAGAAGCAGTCTGTTCTGGGTCACCTGACCAACATCCAGAACGTGGACATGGGCCACCTGAAGGGCAAAGCTCAGGCCACGCTGGAGGATCTGAAGAACTCGGCGGAGAAGTGCTGCGTCATGTGATCTCACTGCATCCTCACACCTGGAAGCGTTTCTTCTCTCCTCACCCCTTTATCTCCTCCACACACTCACTCACGCACACACTCATACACACACACGCATGCACACACACACACACGCACACACACACTCACACACACTCACACACACACGCACACACGCACGCACACACACACTCACTCACGCACACATTCACACACACGCGGACACACACACTCACTCATACACACTCACGCACACATTCACACACACTCACACTCACACACACGCACACACACACTCACACTCACACACACACACACACACACGCACACTGCCGTGTCTAACCACACACATCAATATTCATATATCCGGTGTGACGTGTAGGGCAGTGTTTGTTTCATGATGCTGATATCGTTCTAGGAGTTTAAATGTCACGTGTGTTTCATCAACTATACGAGAATCTCACAAAAACACGATCGGGTCACATTTCACCTCATAAAAAAAAAAAGTATATTTTGCATAAATTATTAATCTTGAAGGGATAGTTCACCCAAAAATGAAAATTCTCTTATTTATTCTCCCTCATGGTGTTCCAAACTAATTTTAATGACTGTTGGTAAGCAAACGGTTTCCGGTACCCATTGACTTCCATAGTATGGAAAAAAGTACTGTGGAAGTCAATGGGTACCGTCAACTGTTTGCTTATCAACATTATTCTGTTTAACACAGATGATGATATTTAAAAAAATGTTGGTGAGCAAACGGTTTCCGGTACCCATTGACTTCCATAGTATTTTTTTCCACTCTATGGAAGTCAATGGGTACCGGAAACTATTCGCTTATCAACATTATTCTGTTTAACACAAAAAAATAT